GTAGGGTAGGGTAGGGTAGGGTAGGGTAGGGTAGGGTTGGTTCGGGCGGTCGATCGGGCGGCCTTGGGCCACCTTCATCGATCGCGCCGCCGTCGCTCCGTCGATCGTCGCCGTCGATCGCCCCTGTCACATTCAATTGCCCTGAACCCGGATGCATGATGCGGAGTCAATTACTCATTACTCATTACCTAAAAATGTGTTAGCCGGGGTAGGGTGGCGGACGGTTGGAAGCACGGCTCTGCTTTTTCCGCGTGGAGACAGGAAGGTGCATGTTACGACGAATGAGAGACGCAGTCTCCCATTTCAAGGAATGAAGAGACATGATGAGCTGAGTAAACCTCAGGTTTGAAATTCGGTTATGATTGTCGCGGTGAAGCCGATGCAGCACTATGTAGATACGATGTACCACAGGCCACAGGCCAGCTTGACGTGCTCAAGCACGCCAGGTATACGAAAGCTAAATAAACGGGATCGTGGTCAAAAATGTCACGTGACACTGGAGAGAGAGCTCGTCCGCTCCGCAGCGCCGAAAAGCCGCTTAGACTAAAGAACTACAACCTCGTGTTGGGACCCTAAAAAAAAATTAGATGCTGAATGCGCCGCAAGCCGTTGAGCAATACGACGGCAGGACGGCGACTTATCTATACGCTCACGACGCACATCATCTATTTAGTTCAAAGTGCTCAGCTCACTCGACACCTATGTATGCACTTGAAACAAAAAACATCACAATCTCTGTTCGCTCAAACGCTTCCGTTCACCCCCAGTCTCGACACATTGCGAATCAGCGCGAAGAAGTCAACCACCCCGTAGAGATGTAAAATATAATCAATGTGTGGTGCGCAGACTTTCTCAAGAGAGCCCGGAAGCCTACGTGTAGCCTAAAACTCACTCACCGAGCTTTGCAGCAAAACATTGCAAGTCTTTTCCCAATGGCCATGACAAACTGCACGTAAAAAAAAGTAGAACTGCATGCGTCGCCAACGGACGCGTATAGACGTACGACGCGTCGTGGGCGCACTTTCATGGCTGGAAATATTGACGGTCGTACGAACGAGATGACGACCGTGGGTCGCGCCGGCCGAAATCCGAGCTGCTCTGGGCCTCGCAGGTCGCTGAAGCTGAAACAGGGCAATAATCTTCAGCGGGATGGTCCGTCTTTGTCAAGAGCCTTGACCGTTGCCCTGCCCGCTACTGCGAGACTCCCCCCGGCCGCGTTCCATACGCAAATGACATCGGCGTGAAGACGTCCAACTGTTAAGAAGCACGATGACCACTAGACTACTAGTCAGCGCTGACTGGTAGTCTACAGGTCGACATGCTTTTTAACAACAACGAGGATGCACTCGTGTGTACGAGGATGCACTCGTGCGTACGATCCTCGAGTTGGAGGTACGGTCCTCAAGTTGGAAAAGCTCTAGACGAGAGTCGGCGCCCCGTGCCTTTCGTTTGTCGTCGCCTGGATTGTGCGTGGTGTCCTGCCAACGTTGGTGCTGTTGCTCCAAACCTGATCGGTGACCTGGTATTGCGAGTGCTGGAGGTGTCGGCCGCGACGGTGTGCGTTGTACCGTTGCCGTTTCTCGACCACTCGCCGGATTTCTCTTGGGCCAACCTTTGTTGAGTACGTTCCCGGAAGAACGTCGACCCATTCCAAGCAGCTTCTCGTCAACGCTTGCCATCCTCTGCAGTTATCCATGCAGGTCTCTGCCGTCCCTTCACCGGAAACATTGCTCTAGCCTGGCCACGTGTTTCTCCGCGTGATCTTCGCCCCCCTCGTCTGCCACCATACTCATTGGTTGGATCCGCTTACAGACGAAAGCTCGCAGCACTCATTGCTTCCACCTGACAAACGTCATTTGCTTGTCTCTCCCGCACAGATCATGCGGCGGCCTCTGCAAGCTTGCCTCCAGCCCGGTCCATGCTCTGTTTCGTCCCGCCCCGCTCTACTTTTTGTTCTACAGTATCGCATGGCGCATCCGATGCAACCAACAAGTTGACAGCGATCTGCATGGCACTGCAATCGCAGAAAGACAAGACGAGGCTTGCCGTGAAAACGTAAACGTAATATGTTACTTGTCGCGCTCCCCGTTCCAATCCAAAGCTGTGCTTCGCGAACCACGCATTGCTCGGGTGAAGCGAATGCTGTACAGAAGGATCGGTCTAGTCGGTACTCATGCTCAAGGATGCTCGGTGCCCATGTAGTAGCCCCCAGAACTGCGTTGCAGTCGGCCACGGCGACGGAAAGCACGTACAGTGGACCCCAGGCGAGGCAAGGAGCGGGTAGGCCAAAGGTTTTCGTTTCGGGGCGGCGGGATAGGTTCGGGTTCTCAAAACCAGGTGCGAAAGAGGAAGGGGGGGGGCATGACTTTATCGTGTGTTGCCATCGCCACCCGATCGCGACACATAAGAATACTGTGTGGGACCCAAGACGAAAAGACTTTGATTTCGCATCGACTTTGGCCCCATCGGTGCCACGTCCTCTCTTTCATGGGTCCAATGCCCTGATATGCCCAACAAGGTCGATGCACGACGGTGATAGTTACCCAATCTACAAACTTTTCCTGGTGATTGTTTCATGCGTACTCACGCGCAGTGATTCCAGGCAAATTCGTTGTACATGTAGGGCAGGTTGTCATTGTCCGGGTAGATGAATTGGTACCACTCCAGGTTGGTCATCGTGACGGTCTCGCCCTGGAGCTGTGTGATGTCGTGGAGTTCGAGAGAGACGGTAGAGACAAGCAGTTGGTCGGAACGGAGTTAGCCCGCCCTGACACCACATGCCACACACGATGTGTCTCCAAGAGCATGAATCCATATTCCTGCCCGCAGCCATCCTGCAGAGTTGCACCTCAATGACGGGTCTATCCAGGGCGAGCATGCCCGAACTCGCTCGAAAGGAGCACGGCTATGGAGTCATGTATAGTCTGCAAACAGCGGCACCAACACCATACGAACACGAAACTCATGCCGCATCAAAGCGCACCTTGATTTCGAACGGCAGGGCTTCGTTGGCCTTGTGACCCGCGCAGTTGCCCTCCACGCATGTAGGCATGGCCAGAGGGTCGTCCCTCACCCCCGACCAGTCGCAGACTACCCTCGTCTCCCCGAACATATTGCCATCCAAGTAGCCCCAGGTATCGTCTAACGACCACCTAGAAAAGAATGATTGTAAGGGAAGGGGCTACGGTAGGTGGGTACGGGGCGGGGTTGAGTAGAAGGAAAACTCGCATCTGGTTGTACAAACGTCCCGTTGCTTGACCGGGACTCCCCCAGGAAAAAAGATGCCACGATCAATTTTTGAATCCCTCCGCCGCCGTTTCTTTGCCCCCCGCACGCGCTATGCCAGATGTCCACAGATTCCAACATTTGCTGGTTCGCAAGGGCAAAGGTGGTGACAGAGTACTTGATACATGCGGGGGATATAGAATGGGATAGAGTTGGCCTCTGCAAGTAGAAACATGCCACCTGTTACACATGGGTTCCAGGGCATGAGATCGCTTTACCAACCGCTTTTACATCTCCCCCATGAGAAGGAAAAATTTCGTAACGAACACCTCGAACCCTGGTCTTGGATATTTCCTGGTCTAAGATATTTTATGGAATGTGTCGCCATATATCAGAACAGATACAGCGCTGTGCAATGGGCTAGACACTAGTTAACGTTGCGGGATATAGCCGCGGCTGCGCTAGTTGCGTTAGTTTTAGTCGGTGCCCTGATTTGGCCGGATGAACACGGGTACAACCCTTTCTTCGCCGGGTCAAAGAACCTTTTTCTGCACTGGAGACGCATTGTTTTCTTGGGGCTTTTTGGGCAGGGCCTTCAACTGTCCATGCGGGAGACGCATCTGTAGCTTTCAGGGCCAGAGTGGAACAATGGGGGGGAGGGGTCTAGGGATGAGGTGAGAACGGGCGTTCGTGCGAGGCCAAAACCCTCGTCCGCGACCACAACACAGCAACAGAAACATGTCGCCGGACTTACACGTCGCTTTGGTCGGCGGCTAGCTTTCTCCTCCATCCCAAAAGGCGATCCAACGTAGGGTGGATCACCCAAAACAGAGGATCGTACGCTGACGTCGCCGAATACTGGTCACCGAAATGCCTGCCGAAGCGAACCAAAACATCCGTCGTTTAGACACCGGGCGTATGACACTGATTCACGAAGCCTCTTAGGTTGCTCAACTCGGTCGTGATGCGGCAGGACGAATAACCACGTGGCAAGCCCAGTGCAGGGCACGAGAGCAGTGGTTAAGGCAGATGTACGATATCGCAGCCCACCGGTTGCGGCCGCCGAAACAAAACACAAATGCACGTACCCGGGGTCGCAGAGCGAGTGCAGAACCCGCATCCAGAACTCGTTTTGAAAGTCCTCATCGTCTTCGTGGCCGGTCACCACGAATCGGTCTTCATCATGGTCGTACATCTGCAAGGTATTGATTTGTTGTTTTGCAGAGTCAGGTAAATAGACACGCCAGGTTAGAAGTCATAGTCGGAAAGACCCCCACCAGATACCCCACCAGCATGTATGAGCTGCACTCCTCAGCATGAAGTTTTAAGATTGCGGGTTTGACACCTTCTTGTCCTTGTATTGTTTTGTAGAATGGCACCCGCCCCGCGCCCCCCCTTTCCCGACAAACTTACAACAGCGTCGCCGGCAGCCTCGGCGACCCAGTAAGCCGCGGAGGTGTCCACCAGCACGTCGTACGGCGTCATCCCTAAGGACTCGTACAACTACAACAAGGTAGAGAGAGGAACACAGACAGACAGACAGACCGACAGACAAATAAAAGTTTTGGAATATGCGCCGGGGCAATCAATAGCAATGAGGAAAATGGATATTACACCGCATTGGATTCCCCTCGGCTGCACGGTTTGTGTCAAGTTTGATGTCACGATGCACTTCCCCCATTTGACTGAGAAGCAAATGGGGGTCAGATAGTGGCCAAATTCAACTGACGGGACTAAAGTGGGCAGGAAAAGCGGGGAAAACGTGCCCATTTTGCCAGCGAAGAGGGGAGCGGAATGTCCAGAAAGCCGGGAAACATGGCAATAAATACGTGGGGGTGGCCCCAAATGCGGAACGACCTCAATGCGAAGAATCGACGCCGAACGGGTACACCGATTTTTCTCTCCGTACACGGGCTGAAAAAGTTGGGAGACGTTGCAAAGCCACCAATGCAATGAAAACCTCGTGGTAGTTGAATCTCCAAATATTACGGGAGCGGCCAACGTACCTCTGCCGGGCAGCTGGTGATGCACGTGGACGCGTTGCCGGGTCCATCTTTTCCCTGCAAACAGGTGTTCGGCACGCGGAGGTATCCTTGCCTCCACAAGGCCTTGGCCAAGATCGCGACGGAGGCAGAATATCCTGCCGTGGCCGCAACGATGCGGTAATAACACGCGTCGCGGTTGCGTCCAGATCATGAGAAACAGACCGCCGTGCATGCGTGCTCGTTCGCACCGGCCTGTGGTGCGTGCGTCAAGTTGTTTCAACCGCGATTCTGAATATATTGTACCACGTTTTCGGGAGGAATAGTGGGAAAGTAAGGAGTATGGCCCTTGTACCCTAACCAGGGGTGGGGAGGAAAATCAGAGAGTGCACCCTGCCACATGTTTGTTAAAAGGAGGGATAAACCGTTCATCGCTCACGAGTGATGCTTGTCCCTTCAACCAGAAACCTAGACGGGGTGTCGCAAGAAGGCAAGTACTCTCAAAGCCAGGTGCCCTACCCCCGTAGAGGCTGGTGCTCCCAACGACCCCTGCCACCATCGCTGCCCCCCCTTCAATGATCTTCACTATAAAACACTGTGCGCTTGAGGTTCAGAAATGTCCAGTTTCGCCGCCCGTGCATTGGGATCCTGCTATCGACTCAATAGCTTCACATGGTGCAACGTTCTACAAACGTTTGTACACGGCGGACAGGAATGTCTTCGTCGGGTGATTGTACAAGGATGGGACAAGAGCGAATACCCCTCTCTCTCTTGCCCACTTTCTCTCTCACACACCCTCGCCGTCCCATTTCGACTAAATAGTCCTCTGGGTTGTCCTTTTCCTCCCCACCCAAGCAACTTGCTTGCTGACACACCAATACCATGCGACACACCGTACCTAATCGAAACGTGAACTCCTCTTCGGGGTTGTTCCACTCCCCGCCCATTGTGTTGTGCACTGGCCCGTGAATGCCCGCGTTCAGACAGTTGTTCATCGCCGCGATGGAAGAGGACTCAAAGCACGACTGAAACTCTTCACACGTCACCATGTCCGTCGAGTCCTGCTTGGATAGTTCGGTGGCATTTATCACGCAGACGTCATCAGGGAGGAGAAACCGTCCTTGAGCCAGCAAGATGGAGTTGGGCGCTTTGAAATCACGGAAGGATTCGGAGACATATTTCGGGGGACCGTGTTCTTTTGCGTAGCGATCGGCGAGTTGGAGGCGAGGATGTTTCGTTGCGGATCAACCAACCCCTTGGCGTGAGATTTTCCGTCTGTGTGGAGCATATCCGGGGGGGGGGGCATCAAGGCAGGAGTGGCAGGCGACGCATGGAAACCATGTTTTTACGGACGAACAGAGTAGGGACACGACGGAGTAAAAAAATATCTAGCAGCAACAATGTCAACAACAACGAGTGTGGACGGTTCTGAAGATCAGTTCGCCCTTATCAAAGTGAAGCCTGATACTGACCACGCCATTGATTTTGTCGTAGCGAGTGACGAAAGGGGTCCCGTCCGTGTTCCAAGGAGCACGCAGAAGGCCGTATGGGTTGTGCACGTAGTCCCACGCTTCCTGCAAAGCGAGCATCGACAAAGAAACTAAGCGTAAGAGAACAACAAGCGATAGCGCAAGGGAACGGTATCATTTGGAGCGAACGTTTTTCATGCTCCATGATCCGTTTCGGCATTGGGGATCAATTCTGACAGGTTCTAGCACGGCCGCCCGTGACCGAGGGAAGAACGAAGCAGGAGAAGCAGGCCATTCGGGTCAAGACTTTACCCCAACGCAACCTCCAACAATGAATACGGTCATCCTTGCAGAACAACAACACCATCACTACCAACACCAACAAAAGAGCAACAATAACCTTAGTACACTACCCGCCAGCGCGACAGGACAACCCTTGTACACCTAGGTTTGAGATGATTGATTATGTCAGTCGGCTTGCACAGCACTTTTGAGTTGGGCCCTTTCTTGTACTGTTTGGGATTTTTTGTCTGCGTCCTCGCCTTCATGATCGAGAGGAAGGCCCACCGGCCGTCGGTCACCGTGTGAAGGGAGTTGTCGGGAGAGGCGTCGCCGAACCAGCCAGGGTGAAATACCTGGGATTCTCCGTAGTTCGCCAAGCCCAGGGCGGCTGTTATCCGACGGAATAGACAGGAACACAACAAAGCAGTCAAGACACCAAAACAAGTGAAGCATGACGTAGCTCGCTTTGTACCTATGCAGCCTTTGCCGCAAAGGTCGGGAACTCGGGTCTCAGCGAATCATGCGCTAATCTCAGCATTTCTTTTCCACGGCGCTGTGGAATGGTTATTAATGAAAGCCGTCACGCTATTTCGAAAACAGTGTAAGGACGTTTGGTGCCCCCCCACCCGATTTGCAATGCCAATTCTAGCATGTGCGCAAAGAAGTACATCTACCCTGCCGTACGGCGCGTTCGATCATATTGGCTGGGCGAGTTCGGGGGCTCAAGCCTGACTGCTACGGTGCTGGGGAAAGCGGGTTTCGTGAGTGTCTTTTGCTTCAAATTTCTCGCTATTGAAAGGCCGACAGCTTGTACCGCAGAAGGTTGCTGTTTGACACCGGCCTCGCACGCCCACGGGCGCACCAAACGAACGTGAGCTGTCCACAACAGATGGGATGGGAATTAACCATGGCCTGCGTTGTGGGCATCCTGGGTGGATACGGCGGGATCTATCCATCGACCGTTCTTCTTCGACATCTATCCACGAGCTGCAAGAACACCACCAGAAAGTAGCAACAAGAACTCAAAAAACCACGTGATGCACCTCAGCAAACCTTAAGCCAACCACGTTGCCCCATCCCAAGATACCTTCAATGGTGTACTCCCAGTAGGGTATGGAGACGGAGGGGTCCACCACCTGGAGGGCCTGCTCGAACAGCAAGGTGAACCCCACGTGGTGCGTCACGATGCCTGCCAGGCGATAACCAACAATGTTTGTCGAAGTATTTCGTCCGGAACGGCATCGACGTAAGCTGATGCCGCCGCGTAAGCAACAACCTACGCCACTACCGAACTGTTTTCAATATATCCTACATCCTACGGGCTGTTTTGAAGATGTGCCAGCTTACTCCGAGCCCCACTTAGTGGGTTTCCTACCGCATCGCGTTGTCATTCAACACGTTTTCAACGCGACCAGGTCGGGAGTGGTTAAGGGGAGACCCAAAATCCCCCCAAAAGAGCTGCACCCGAAGGAAGACGGCCGAAGTATTTCTGTCCAGCCGAGCCGGGTCACATCCGAGGCAACCGGTGAAGCGGCGAGAAGCTATTTGCGAAACCGCCAAGAAACAACGCCAACTGATTATTTTTTCGTCCTTCGGGCGGGGGGCGACGCGTGATGCAAGCGCTCTGAGGGAACCGCCCGAGACAACTACAGCAGGTCGCCGTCCTTCTGCTCATCTCTCACCGGCATCGTCGTGCCAATGGTCACACTCCTTCACAGCGGCCCCGTCCAGGTGCATCTGCACGAAAAATTCGATACCCTGGGAAGCGCACCGAGAAACGGCCAAGCAAATCGCAAATGTATGTGTGTGTCCAGCGTCAGCGAGGGGTGAGAATCAGAAAACGCGCGAGACTGGAATTGAGATAGGGAGGGGGATTCCGCAAGCGGCTACGAGGCGATGCCTTGAGGCGATGATTTGGGAGGGGGCCCCGTGTGGGTGGCCACTCCATCTTTCTCGCCCGCCAATGGTCTCAGAATGACCCCGGGTGCTGCATTTCCCGTTCCGCGTCAGTGACACACCGAACGGCTACCTTCCATGTACACAGTGAACATTAACATTTAGTCGAAGTCGTGAGAGTAAGAATCAGATTCACAGTTTGTGTGGCGTGGGCATCGAGTCGACTTAGGCGCCGGTACTCTCCCTTGCTTGCTCCAAGCAAAGGATACGGGTGCGCCGGTACCACCATGCGGCCAACAAAAAACAGTGGTATGCCAGCATACGGCCGTCGAACCGTACATACCATACTATCATGGTGGAATATTGGTTCTATGGGGACCGCCTAGTGTTTCAGCATAATAGAGCGAGGGAGATGCGCCTTGTGGTATTTGTACCCCACGGGGCAACCTAGATGGGGCAACCTAGATGGAGAAGGTAAGGCAACGCACGGGACGACTCCACGGTACAATATAATACTCGTGGAAAAGGTTGTATCATGAAACTGTCCAGCATTGAGATCGGCTTGTCCGTACCTTGTAGTCTTCGCCATAGAGAGCAACGCCCTCGCCGGTGGGCAGCCGGTAGAGCGTCTCCATGGCGTCGAAAAACGCCTCCCTGTCTTTGTCAGTCAGCTGGCGGATCTCCCGCCGCACGTACTGGAAACCCAAGTCAAACGCAACCACGGATTCAACAAGATAAGAGCGAAACATATTGTCCCCAGAGTTGCTTTGGTGTGAGTGAGTGATAGAACAATGACTAGTATTTGCCTCTGTTTCCTGGGTGGTTTCGAGAGCAACAGATCAATAGGTTATTCTTCCAAACCCTGTCGATGGATGCCACAGAAAAGCACCCCCCTTCGCCGTGGTGAAAACAACGGCAACTTCATGACCTTCACAAGCATTCGCTTACCTTCCAGTATTTTCAGACGACGTCACCTTGTAGTCTGACGGTATCGATCCACAAGACAAACTACAATCAAAAGATGCTTGATACCATCGCTCGCACCTTGACCATGACGGAAGAGCTCATATGGTACACCTCTCCTGTGGACACGACGATCTGCATCAAAGACACCTCGTGGCGCCCGACCGCCTTGAACTTGTGTTTCACTCTCCTGAACATCCATTAGCAACAGACAAGGGTCACAGCCGGGGCAGCGGCGGTTGATTCCTGCTTTCTTCGCCTAGGCGTAGTATTGGCCAACGTGGCTTCCAGAGATGTTTATAGCAACACATCAATCATTTTGCGAAAACGTCATTGCGAACGGTTCCCGGAGCGTCCTACGACATAACTCGAGGAATGTTGGAAGGCGCAAGGCCTGAGAATTTTATGGGTCGATTTTTTTTAGAACACATAGATTGGTTAACAACAGAAGTACTAGTTAGAAATCGTCTTGGCGTGTTGAAAGAACGACCTGATGCAAAAATAACGCCGAGTACACAGAAACCTCCGCCGCCTCGCTCGCACGAACGGAAACGTGAGGTGTTGAGTCTAAAAAGCCGTTTTCGGACCGATTCCACCTATAAACTACACACAAACGTTCCGCGGAACAAGCATCAACAAATAACTTCGGAGAGGACAAAGCCTATGCCGCTGCTACTCTCCGTGTCCAGCGGATGGTCTAGGATCCTTGAAATAGATATTGTCGGAAAATGAAACATGTGTATGAAATGAGTTGGGCTCCTTCCTTAAGGCGGGCGTGGCAGCAGGCTTACCACGCTAATGGGTTCGGGTTCGCCCGCGGCAGAGACAAGAGGGCAGGCAGAGTTTCTCCGTTGAACTTTGAGAAAGGGTCTAGCAAGAGAGTGACCAGGGCGGTTGGTGCCAAGAGAGTGACCAGGGTAGTTGGTGCCACGAGTGATCCGCCAACTCACGCCAGCAAGTGGGTGCGGAAGGTTCGCGCACCCATCAGTGGTCTCCTGATTTCCCATATGGCTCTCGATACGCCTTGAAAATATCGGTTAGAACCGTCCTACAATACACGGCGGGCGGTGAATGCACGTATGAATCCTACTCCGCCAAAATATACCTGTCATCCACAATTAGTCTCTTGTGTGACAAGACGTCTCAGTGTAGAGCTGTAGCCCGACCATCGCTGCTGTGTGCAGTTTTCAGCTCTGTGCTTCAATTCCAATGTATGCAATCCAAACCCGTGTTCCTTTCCTTTCTTTCTCTCTCAGCCAACACTCAACAAAAAGCATGGACATGTGGAGATAACGGAATAACGCGTGACCAAAAAAAAAAACAATTGGCCCGCTGCTTGAATGAACACGGAATGGAACAGGGTCAATTGGGACGTGTAGCCTGCAAGATATACCCGCTGCCCACCTCCCCCCCCCCCCGGCACTGCACCATTGCACCAACCCCCCGCGAGCGATGACGTGCATGGGCTGGCTCGAGTGGCCCGCTTTGTCTTGTGTTGTTTTGTGTGGTTCTGTTTGTTTGTTGCTTGTCGCTACGGAGTGTGTCTTTCTCTGTCTATGTCTTACTTTCTTATTCTCTTTGCTTTTCTCCATCTGCTCAATTCCTTGCTTCCTTTTTCGTTTTCTTTTTTTTATTTCTCTTAATCTTTTTCTTTTTCTTTTTTCTTTTTACTGTTTCTATCTTTTTCCAATCTAGGGTTACCTCGCATAGAGTGCAGAGAGGCGAGCGGAGTGGCCTAGACTATCTGTCGTTGACTTTTATTGGCTTGTAGACCCTTCGGGTCCATTTCATTTTCGTATACCTTTTTTGGGGTAAGTTAGCCTGTGACCACGGGAATCGATCCCGTCAAGTGCTAGACTAGTAGTACGGACAGAAGAAGGTACTAGGCAGAGAGAACGGGATGGTTTTTAATGTGAAGACAACAACAACAACAACAACAACAACAACGTGGAATCTTAGGCTAAAGGCTCGTTTGTACCCTGGTGTGTATTGGTGGAAGTGGAGATGAATTTGCGGAGCAAGGCGAAAGGAACATATCAAAATAATGATTGAAACGTGCAGGAATGATGAGACCAACAAGCGAGGCTCAGTTGTTTCTGTTCCGAAACGGATGTTGGGTGGACGTATCTATCCGCGCGACTGCACACGCCGCTCGTTCTAAACCTCACCTCCCTTCTAGGACAGTTCCGTCTTGAAATGACCACTGGAAGACATCCGTGGCAAGATTCCCGGTGCTAGAGAACGCTGTGAGTGTTGTATCTCGAAATGGCTCCGCGGTGTGCGCCCACTTGGCGTCTTTGATCGGCGGATACTCGTTCGTGGACGTGAAGCTTTGCGCTTCTGGGGCATCAGCATGCTGCTGCCATGGGTCTGCCAGGCATCAGAGGCGCACCCAAACGATATATATGCACAAATTTTGCTCCCATGGGTCTGGCGTGCATCTCGGCATGAGAGAGGCGCAACCAACCCAGGTATGGACAAAAACTGTTGCTCCCATTCTACAAGTACCCGCATTTTTGAGGTGTACGCAACACAGCAGCAGCATTGTACATGGCCGTTGTTCACTCACACAACGCACCTGGCGGTTTAACGTTACCCAGATCTGGCTCAGGGACGGATGCCTCTAGAATCGACTCCCCAGCACGATGAGCGACCTTGTATGGCCATGCTGTGGACAGGGGTGGTCCAACACATGCACACAGCAGCAGGAGAAGAAGCACATGATGACAATATCTCGGAAAGAACGCAACTCTGATCATGGCCGAAGCCACAACCCTTGTATGCCGTTTACCCAATCCGTCGACCACGGAAAGGGTCTGAAGGGCGTGATAGCTTGGTTGATGGCGTGCCTGCGTGCGCGTGTGTGGATTAACTCTTTCTGTGCAATACCGTGAACCGTGACGGCGGCCGCCGCCTGCTGACACGAATGCATCACGTGATCACGTGATTGGCGTCGCCATTCACTCGCATGCCGTTAGTTGCCGCATTCAGAATGTGGTGAATCATCAGGAGGAGGGCACGCGAGTTCATGAACGCTGCAAATTTGGCACTGTGCTGCTGCACATGCCGCTGCCCTGCCTTTCCTGAGCGGGAGAGCTCGCACCCACAACCATAGTAGATTTATCTGAAATTCATCCTCCGTGCGGAGTCTGGAGTAGCAAGCTCGGCTGTGGCGCTCCCTGCTCCCGCTCCCTGCTGGGCGGTCCGCACCCCTGGTTGTGACAGTCCCGCCCGTTGCGCTGACCAATGAGAGGACGTTGATTTTCCGATCGGCGGCAGAACGAACAGAAGTGACGATGCTGCTGTGTGCCCGTGTGCCTCTGTGTGCGTCATCCGCAATATGCATAGCATCGACTGCGCTACCCGGTCTGAAGGCGTATGTATGTGTGTGATGTGTGTAGACGCAACAAGCCCGAGACTGAGTCTCAAATCAAATCACGGAGCGTACAAAGTTGCTGACTGATAAGCTATTTATGATGCAGTCCGTGTGCCCATCACTTTGCGCAAGCGGATCTGGCCATTGTGTCAGAAATTCCCCGAACGCGCATGAACATGCGGGTCCAATTAACGGAATCTCCTCCGCCCCCCTCGGTCGCAGGGGCGGCGGGCGGTTTGGTTCTGCTTTTCCACGCGGAGACGCCCAGATGCATGTAACGACGAATTAGAGACGCCGCCAACCCCACTTTCTTCAAGGAATGATCACATAGATATGGCAGCTGAGAACGTGTGTTCTCATTTGACACTCGGGAAAAATATCGTGTGAAGAAGACGACACGAATAGCTGGAACGTTTTCTCATTGGACATTCGGGTATCATCGCGTGAAGCCGACACGAAACGCCACACACAGCAGTACTGTTCGACATGAAAGCTTGATAGCTTCCAAACGCCATCATCATCGTGTCGAACACCACCTGAAACGGTGGCGAGCACGTCCCGTCCCATTCACGCCAACGGCGAAGTACCCTTGCGACCAATAAAAAACAAAACGCATCACATGGTGCTGAATGTACCCTCCCAAGATATTTTGGTACGCAACGGCGGCAAGTCCCACGCTCACGACGCGAAACACATGCATTAGTGTATGGTACTCAACTCACTCACCTATGCATGTACCTCAACAAAAACCACCATCACCCCTCTTCTCGCCCAAACGCCTCCCATCCAACCACGGCGGAAACCCACCCACCGTTCACCGCCCGCCTGTTTTCGACGATGAACATCAACCACCCGAGAGCAACACATTCGAATACTGATCAATCAATGCGGAAACACAACGCGAACTCACCCGACTACCCGGACAGCGACAGAACAAACTAGCCACACAGACGCATATTCTACACAACAAGCCGAAGACAAAAATACGGCTAGCTGCGAAATGACTATTTTCAATTTTGCATGCGGCACACGACTGAACTCCCAAAAACTTCAACACACACACCCACGGGCGTTGTGAGGTCCCGCGCGAACACCACACTCGGCCTGCCCCGTCTTTCCCAACGCCCCTGACGAATTCTGCCACATACACATGCATCGAAATCCCTTCACACGGATACACGATGCAACCCATATACGCAAATTCTCCATCTAACTCCCCTGGGCGACACCGGAACACCTCTGCCACCCGAGTCTCCCGAACACGAACCGCGTACGACGGAAAGAAAAAACTCCGCCCGCCGCCCACACACCCATGCGAAACTGACCGCCACCATCTTCATCGTCCGACCCACTAACCCGCTCGCTCTTCCAGAGCGGCAAGAGGGGTGGATGCAAGAGGCCTAGTACGGTCACCTCGCCCTACGTAGTTACATTATTGCGGTCACCTCGCCTTGTGTAGTTACATCATTCAACCCCCGCCGATAGGGGGTGGGTCGCCCCAAAAACAACAAACGAACCTAGACCATGATGAATGCCCTACCACTCCAAATCTAGGCTTGATGAATGCCCCACGAATCACGCCACGAAAGAGAAATGGCAGCCTCACTGATGACACGCCTACATCCAAAAGAACCAAAAAAAAAATAGATTGCGAACAATCTAAGGCACGCCTCTTAGCCCTTGAAACTGGATCTTTCAGGATGGCAAGGCACGTCCTTGATATGGAACACAAGGCAGGAAACATGGCGCAGCAGGGTGCGAGCTGACCAGTCTTTTCTCACACATTCATCTGCGCTCCTGGTCAACAACTCGACCGTTCGCGAGCACGGCGGTCAAAATCCCGTGGGAGAAGGGTACAGCCGAGGGCCCTCAGCAATGCCGGTATGGACCAGACCACTTCACTATTCAGAGGGACTGGCACTATTCAGAACAGGGATATATAGGCTTAAAGTACAGGAGTGGACAATCGTGCCGGCAGACATGTAACCGTCCTGATGGTACACTGCTGCAACGACAGCCACTCGTTCTCGTTCGGAACGATTTCTTTTTTTCCAAAAACTCTCGGGACGTGCGGCTCAATCTCGAGAGACGGCCTACGGCTTCTTTGCCGTCGACGACAAGCACATGGCATGCTCTTGCCCGAAGAGAGCACCCTCCCGCGGCCACACGCTACACGAGAAAATGAAAAACACTAAATACCAAACAAAAAACACCGACCAAACAACGACACGACTTGACGATACCAGCGACAACGACAAGCGAGAATGAACAATTCACACACAAAAAAGACCGCTGAGAGCACGCCCAGGGGGTCAGGTCAACTGAGGGACAACCCCCCTATCAATCAAAATGCGCTCCACCCACGTGGTGATTCGTCGTTATGGTCGTACAGCGGGCGGGGGGGGCGCTGGGTCGGCCGCTGCAGCCTCCACTTCGGGACTTGAGGGTAACTCCGACCGAACGGGTATTGGAGGGTAACTACGAACGGGTTTCCTCGCCAAGACAACCCAAGGAAAGAAAGCTAAAGAGAACAGTCATGGGATGCCCCCATACGGTAGTTCCCCCTCACGCCCCGTCTTGGTTTGTGCCCATGTAGTTGCCGGAGGAGCTGCGTAAGTGAGCGAGTGAGCCGACAACGGGGAGGGTTGTGCGTGGGGGGGGGGAGGCGTCATCTTTTGCTTGCGGCCTGTGAATCCTTCCTACTTTACCGAAGGTGATACAATAGATAGGGGTTCAAAAACGTTTCTTCCCTACCCAACCCTACCCTATCTATCGTTTCGGGTGGCTGAGGGGGGGCGGGGGGGGCTACTCATAGTCGTGCATGCCGTAGTCGTTAGACCATTGACCTCTCGCATCCCTACAAAGCCGGGACGGAGCACGTCGGGTTCTCACCGGACCAGGCTCTCACATCACCAAGCGTGAAGCGCCGTGAGGTATTCGGCGAGTCGCATGAAGGGTGCGCTGCATCCTGCTACGGGTGTTCGGAATCTTGTGCTTACTTCCTTGCGTACGGATGACAGCTGCGTATGACTTAATTTATTTTCTTGTGCTTTCACTTCCAGAGACAGTTGTAAGCACTGTGTAACTGCCTCGAGGATGCTTGACCATTTCAACACAACGTGGTGCGACCATCCCCCTTGCGCGGAGTGAGGGTTTTCCACCCCGCACAACATACTCTACTCGACCACCATTCATGGTTACCGCCAAAAAAAAACAAAAAAAGGCAAAAAAAAAAAGCGGTAACCTGGTTGCCGAGATCACGAAGTGAATCGGCTTGTTTTACAACATCGCTGCCAAGCGACGAAAACCCAACCCTGACCGGGGGGGGGCGGAACAAAAAAAAAAGAGGTACTCACGCGCAGTGGTCCCATTGGTACTCGTTGTACATGTAGGGCAGGTCGTCGTTGTCCGGGTAGATGAACTGGTACCACTGCAGGTTGGTCATCTGCATCGTCTCGCCCTTGACCTGAGCCGGCAGAAACAAAGGACGATAGACACGGCATATTTCAATCCATCAGCGTCACGTTCAAGACACACACAAGAGACAGAGAGAGATGGGAGCACAGCAAATAGAAAGGATTAGCAGATAGGTCGTCACTCGCTGCAATGTCCGAGTTCGTCACTTCAACAAAACAAAAAACGTAGCACATGTGACAATGGTAAAATATAGAGTAATACAGTCAGTATCGGCATCATCGAAAAATGAGCGTCTCTACCGTGAGGATGCATGCGCTTCCGCATCTCGTTCTGGACCAGGAATGGTCGAAAACAGAACGCCAAGTCAGCGTGCTCGCATTTTGTTCCGTTCTATCCAGCCACAAGGACTGACGCATTTTCATTGGAAATCCATCTAGCGCCGTCGATGCCAATTCAAGACGCACACACACGTACGTACACACACCTTGACTTTGAAGGGAAGCAAGTCGTCCGCCCCGTGGCCCCCGCAGATGCCCTTCCTGCACGTGGGCATGTCGAGCGACCCTTCCCTGACGTCGTCCCAGTCGCACACCGTGCCAGTCTCGCCCACGACCCAGCCGTGGGAGTAGTCCCACGTCTCGTCCAACGGCCACCTGGCAAGATATTTAGAGAAATCAAGCGCCATCAAACAAGGCCAAGTTCTGGTTTCCGTAAAAAGGTTGAGCGGGGGGAAGGGGGGTGAGGCAATGCGTCGCATGTGTTGGTACTTCGACTTACGCCGGCGTTTTGCGCCGCGTGAGATAGAGCACAGGGGGCAACAATTTGTCAAGGAAAGGCAGACGCTCCAGGGCGCAGCGCTGACAATATCAGAGGCGTGTGAGTGTGCCTGTACAACGGAGGCACAGTCGGAATTACGGGCACGCAATAAAGTAATGAGCCAGGTGCACGCACACGTGCGTGAAATATAGGCTTTTGTCGTATGCTCGGACGTCTTCTCAGATGGGTCTCATTTGGTGCTGCTGCTAGCTAATTCCTTCCTTCGGTCGTACGTGAAACTCTCTTCGCGCATGGGGGGCAAAGAGGAAGAACGATACATGCCTCTGAACAGCATCCCATGCTGACAAGAGCACTGAACAAGTACCCAACACAAAATTACACGCGTGCGCTGAATACTAAACATCTGAATAACTCAAGGCTCGAAGGTGTAGCGGCAACAGTGTTCCCCCTGAACTTCGCGAGGCAAGGGCGGTGGTGGTGGGTGCTTGCTTCTTTACTCACATGTCGGGTTGCTCCACGCCGAGTTTTCTCCGCCACCCCATGAACCTCTCGGCGGTGGGGTGAATGACCCAGAACAGGGGGTCGTACGGTGCCGAGGACGTGTACAACTCTCCCACGTGCCTGCCACAAAAAAATAAATAAAAAAAAAGCACGCAAGGGGGGAGGGGGAGGTGAGACAGGCGTTCTCGCAATCTTTTGGCCCCCAGTGACGGGTACTGAGGGCGGCCATCTCATCCATGCATAATCCACCGTTATGCCGCATCTCCGATTTTTTCAACCCAACCAGCGGACGCCTACTGCCGCTGAAGGGCTTTGCAAGAAAACGGGCAGAAATGATTGATACCACCAAATGCCACTACATATTATGCTAGTGATGAAACGACACCGTACAAGAATCTGCCGAGAATTACAACCGCCGGCAGCGGCAGCAGCAGCAGCAGCAGCAGCGGGAGACGCACAACAGAGGGGGCGCGAACGCACGCAGGGGAGGGCAAGTCGATGCCGGGCAAGGCACACGGTACGCACCCTGGGTCGCAGAGCGAGTTGAGGATCCTCAGCCAGAAGAACTTCTCGAACTCCACGTCGTCTTCGTGGCCGGCAATGTAGAACTTTTCCTTTTCCTCGTCCCACACCTGGGGGGCGGGGGTTAAGAGTTTTTTTGTGTGGGATGCATGGATATGGGCGATGCGGGGCAACGAACGGATACGTTTCGGGTTAAAAATAAACGACCAACAACATCAACAACAAGCGCAGGTTTTTGTAACTGTTACGCATATTTTCATATTATTCAAAAAATGACAAAAAACAACATCAACAACAATAAGGCATGGGACAAGAGGCAAGCGGCAACGAAGGAGAGGGTGCGGGACCGTTTCGCGCGAGGCAACAAAATACCGAGCAAACGACAATTTGATCCCCCTCCTTTGCAAACGTGAGCGGCACCTTTTCTTTCACTTACCGCCGAGGCCGTGGTCGTCTCAGCATATTCAACAAAAATCGATCGCAACGCGCTTCGTTACTACTGGTAAAAGCGTTCCTTCAAAAATAAAAGGGACCGTCGCCCGCCGCTCGAACACCACCACTGCATCGTACGCCACCCACCCCTCCAGAAGCGAAAAAACGAGCAGGGTGATTCATCGTTTTCTTGGCGAGGGAGCAGATGATGCGTGCGGGGGGGCCAAGCGACACGTTTCCAAACAACGCCCCTTCCCTAGGAATGAACGTTTTTCGCCTTTATGGGGAGGTTCTCTTCGTCTTAATGGGGAGGTTCTCTTCGTCTTAGTGGGAAGATTCTTCGTCTTAGTGGGTGTTTCAACAAACGCACGCCATTTTCGAGACGCGTCGGATGGCGGTACAAAAAAAAAAAAAACTCATGATCATGACAACGACTCACCACAACCCCGCCGGACTTGCCAGCGACCCAGTGAATCGACAGGGCGTCGTAGAGGACGTCGTACGGGGTCATGCCCAGGTTCTCGTAGATCTGTGCGTGTGTCGGGTGTCGAAGGGAACGCAGGGGTATGGTACGTGAGAGAAAGGTGTTCGCAGTTTTACGAAGTGGGGAGGGAAGTAGTACGCAAGAACAAGAGAACCATGTCTGGCTTTCCCGAAAAAAAAAGGATTGAAAAATCTAACTAAATAGCTCAATTAACAAGAACGCACATATTTAATAGCGCAGACTACACTCGTGCATACACGACAATCTAACATCAACGCAAAGGGGCACAAAACCCAGCACACCCATTCGCCATCCGATGCACATCGCACGCCTGCAAACTCTGCCATCATCAACACACCGAAAAAACTAACGCCAACGATCGATGTGTAACGTAGACGCATTTACCTCCGAGGGGCAGCTGGCGCGGCACGTGCTGTCGTCGCCGGTACCGTGTTCGTCTTCGGTGCAAGAAGTCGGCATGCGGAGATAACCCTTCCTCCAGAGGAACTTGGCCATCAGGGGAACCTCGTCCGCGTACCCTGCACATTATTGTTGGCATCGTCGTCAAAACTTTAACAAACGAAACATCCTAGTGCTCTTCGTACTTGGAAGTACATGCCAACACGTCCAAGGAAACGAGAGGGAACCTACACGTGTAATCGACTGAACACAACACGACACACGAGAAGCCGTGCTTCCGATCATGATGACGAGTGGCACAGCAAAAATCAAATAGTGGGTGGGATACCCGCATATGGCAATCACCTGCGCGAGAAAAAAAAAAAAAAGCGTCGTCACTTGCAACCTTCGGAAACGGTCAACACCCGGACCCTCTTCCTACGTACTCCCCCCCCCCCCAAAAAAAAACACGAACACACACACACAACGGGGGGGCTCCGCACCTAGCGAGTTAGTCAGTTCTTCCTCGGGGTTGTTCCACTCCCCCCCCATCTTGATGTGCACCGGTCCGTGGGTGCCCCCGTTCAGGCAGTTGAACAGTCCCGCCAGGGTCGTCTCGTCGAAGCAGTTCTGGTACATCCCGCAGGTGACCACGCCCGTGATGTCCTGTTACATGGTGGCGAAGGGAGCAGCAGCAGCAGCAGCAGCGAACAAACACCGATTGGGCGACAACGGGGTCGTCGTTAGGGATAAGGTTTCTTCAAGCGTGTTCAACATTGTCTGGGTAGTGGTGTTGTATTGATTTCGCGAGGGGCGCGGGAACTTGGTTCGAGGACAACCATCAACCGCGCCTCACAAAAACAAAAAAGCATCCAGGAACTTCCACCTTCCGTAGGCAAGAGCAGGAGGGGGTGAGCGGTAGCACTTGAGCATGAGCATACCTGAACAACCATCAGGGTTGCTAGGTTCGGAATCAAGACTCCCGTGACCACCAAAAGAATACATCGATGTAACGGCAGACATACCTGGGCATTCGTCATGTTGTGGCGGGTGACGTACGGCGTCGGGTCGGTGTTCCAGGGGGTTCGCAGAAGGCCGTACGGGTTGTGCACGTAGTCCCACGCGTCCTGCGACACGTGACAATCAGGCACGAAGAGGCGCCGACAAAGAGCGGGGTGAGTACAACATGCTTCATGTACACAACGCATGAGTACGCAATACATCAAGGCCAACTCGTTAAAAAATTAAAAAAAAACTGTGAAGCCTGTAATCCCCAGCGCGCAAAAATAACGAGTTTTTCTTGGGTGTATCCTGAGTGAATGTCTCGTCCAAGTGAAAGAGCGGGAGAGAGAGCACGAAAGGGCACCCTCGAAAAAACAAAAACAATGGCCAGGAAAACAAAGAGCGCGCTCGGGCTGCGCTGAGCAAAAAGTACCGCACAACGACCGCCACTACCACCAGTGCGGCAACAACAACAACAACAACAACACGGACACAGAGCGAGAGCCAATATCTCACGCCAGACCCACACACACACATTCGATGGGAACGAACAGACGCCGTGATATCTAAAAATATTGTCGACTGTTGTATGAACAGATACGGTAGACCAATCAATGTGCAGCAGGTACTCGCCTGCATCACTGGGAGGTAGGCCCACCGGCCGTTGTCGACGGTGTGCATGGCGTTGTTGGGGGAGGCGTCGCCGAACCAGTCGGGAGCGAAGATCTGCGACTCCCCGTAGTCCGTCAGCCCTTGCGAGTCTGCAACAACGGCGACGCCGACGAAACATCAACGATGATCCCCATGAAAAAAAAAATTGCAACCGTAGAGGCAATTTTTTCACATGCTACGATAATACATTGTTCATTCATAGCGCAAAGAACCCCATCTCTACAAATCCACAAATATATTGGGATCTCTATCACGCAACGACTCAAAACGAGCCATCGACAAACGAACAACAAACTGCCAGCGGGACGCTTGAAATGCACTCCGTCAAAAAAACCGAGCAAAACCAAACAGAGAGAGAGAACGTCCTCCCCAGCTTACGACGAAAACGTACATTCGATGGTGTACTCCCAGTACGGAATGGTGACGGAGGGATCGACCACCTGCAGAGCCTGCTCGAACAGCATGGTGTACCCCACGTGGTGCGTCATGATGCCTGCCAGACAAGACCAACGGTAGACAGACGTGTCGCAAGCGACAAAAACGACGGCCAGGCTTACGTTTCGAAATCGAACCTCAGACACAAGGACACCTTCCGTATATACAACAACCAAACATACGCATACACGCGATCAAAGTAACAGACCGCGTCTAGGCGTCGACATGATGGGGGCTAAAATAACACTGCAGAACCTAGATCGCGACGAGACTGGACAAATCGGATTTGCATTGCACTGCTGTTGCATTTGATTTGTAAGCAAGGTCGCTCGCCCCTGTTCTACAAGACACCCACCGGCATCGTCGTGCCAGTGGTCGCAGTCGCTCACGCCAGCCCCGTCCAGGTGCATCTGCACGAAAAAACTGATGCCCTGAGGGTAGCCAACAACGGGCAACGGGGGGGGGAGGGGGGGGTGAAATCATTGGTCGTGCATGTCGCAGTCGTTAAGACCATCGGCCTCGCATTCCTACAAAGCCCGGACGGAGCATGCCGGGTTCGGGGGGGGGGGTAATTGCTTTCTTGGGTCAAGTCCAAGGATCACCACGGCACGACGGAATGCAAAAAACGGTGTGGACCAAATTGGGACGGGAGGCTGCATGTATCCCGGCTCTTAAAGCGCATCTTTGGTACTACGTCACCCTGCTTGGCGCCGACGAGTGTCGCGGGGACGGCATTGCACCTAGAGCCCGCAGCTTACTCCAGAATTGGACCAACCAGGAAACACAAAAACAGCAAACTGGGGTTGGGCAGCTCGCAAGTGGGATGGTGGCCCCTGCGGCACGAGTGTGGACTGCCAAAGCTCAACATCGGACACAACCTACCGAGCCTCGAAACAACGTGTGGCATCATCTGCGGGGGCGCTGTGTGCGGTAGGTACTCCCCCCCCCCCCCCCTCCTCCCCGCCTCACCTTGTAGTCGTCGCCGTAGAGTGCGACACCCTCCTCGGTAGGCAGGCGGTAGAGCTTCTCCATGGCGTCCAAAAACGCCTCCCTGTCCTCAGCCTTCAGCTGACGGACCTCTCGCCGCACGTACTGCGCACGCGGAACGCAACAAACAGCAACAGCAACATGTTACGTCAATCTTCCACGTTCTTCGCTTCGCGTTGTACACACATACGGAAAGGCACGGCGATTTCGGGTCATGCACTTCGACTGCGTCTGCGTCGCTTTCTCTGTGCGTCGACAAAACGCATGTACACACACCTTGACCATCACCGAGTCTTCGATTTGTACGATGCGGCCCGTTGAGACCATGGTCTGAGCCAGGGAGACCGTCTGTGCGCCCACGCCCTTGAACATGTACGTGACCTCCCTGCGAAACCACACGAAACGACGACAAGAACAAGGAAAAAGATACACACATGGGGGGGCCGAAGCGGGTCAGAGACGTATTATTGTTTACTGGCAGTATGTATCGTCGCTGCAGAAGGGAGGCCTTTGAAAATGCATATCGAAAAGCGAGCGCCAGCAGCTACGACAACCGTCTAAGCACAGAACCCCCCCCCCGACGCGTGGAGCTTGTTTTTGCTACCCCCCGTTCCTTGCCCAACTCTGGGCATAACAAACAAAAAACAACAGACGGGAGCCGGCACTATTCCAGGCACGACACAACCAAGAGAAAAAAACACGACGAAACAAAATCAAGACGAAAAATGACGGACGGAAAAAAAAAGAGCGACGTCAAGAAACAAGTGTCACTTGACAAAAAAACAGAGCAACGACAGCGAAAAACACCGACGGACGGAACTAAAACATAACACTTAAAAATAGTACATACCTCCCCTCCAGCACGGTGCCATCCTCGAAGGACCACTTGAAGACGTCCCGGTCCGGGTCCCCGACGCTCGAGCCGGCGGTCAGCGTCGTGTCTCGGAACGGCTCCGCCAGGTTCGCCCACGCCGAGTTCGCCAGTCGCGGGTAGGCGTTCGAGGTATCGAGCCACAAGTCATCGGCCGTTGCGTACTCCGCCCCTGCTCATGCCACAGAGGGGGGAGGTGGGGGTCATTTAGGCTGGGGAGGGGGACGCGCAAGACACGGCTTGGCTACGTCATCAACGCTCTGTTGCCATAAAATAAATGCTGCGGTAACTCCGACAAGTGATATGCCCAGTAATTAGTAGAGAAGAAAATAATAGCGGCCTTGCAGGTTGGTGCCGGCAGGGTGTTGATACAGGGCACACTCCGGTGCGATGAACGCGATCGGCACAACAGGCAAGACGTTGAATACGTAGCTCCACAACGGCTTTACTGGCACAACTGGAAACCGTAGCAAAGAAAACGTTTTCGAAAATTATTTCCGATAGAGTTTTTTTTTTGTAGTCTACGTATAACCCACGATCCACCTCTATCTAAGAAAAGAGTCTATAAGATAGATTAGCAACGAATTCATAGCCCTGTACTTATTTCCACGGTTTCACGAGCAGCACACAAGAGATATTTTTCGTTTTTCAGTGTAGGCTGTCATCGCTGATTCTTCAGTGAATACGCTTCTAGGCTTTTCATTGACGATCAAACTTGACGGCAATAAAAACGTTCCCGGTCAAAAAAATATGGAGGCCTTTCCGTCCCGATCCGTGAAAAGACCGAGCCGGTTTTGTGTGGGGCCTGCTACTTTTCACGGATCAGGCTGTTTGACAGAAGGACCGGTCAGCTGCACCGCGGACGCTGCAACATCACTGAGAACGCTAGCAATAGCCGCGTTCAGTCCGTTGTTGGTCCAAAACCTAGAAATTGCATGGCCCCTCGTCTTCAACTGCTGATGATGCTATTTTTTCTTTTCACACATGACACGTCACGGAAACCGTAGAACGAGTACAGCAGCAGCGCCAAGGCCTCCAACGCGCTGATTCCTTCGGTTCGGCTGCCTACAATGATAAACGCATTGCCGGCGCTGTGCTGCTTCGTGGGTATTGGGGGCTTCGGGTGCCGCTCAAGAAGGTGTGTGTGAGAGATGAATGCCACCTCGCCAAACTGCAGTTTGAAAAATGCGGTGAGATGGCCTGTTTTTGGTCGGAGACAGCAACACAAATCCACGGCACCCCGCAGCGTAGAGCAACACAGGGACTCCGACACGCTAATTCTTTCGGACTGGATACGCATATGATGCTGGCCATCAGCGCCGCTGCCGCTGTCGACAGGTGGTGGTCAAAGAAGGGGGTCGCAACGATGAAAACTGATCTGGCTACCGGAAGATATCGCACGCAACACCCAGGTTGCGATACTCTGCCCTGCGCCTGTTGCTGAAAACAGCAGGCCGGGTGGACGAGGGCTTTATAAGTGTACTGCTGTCCTATGTGTCGGGTGCTGCTCTTTGTGCTTTCACCGCTGCTGCATACGAGCAAAGCCACGTCAACCTCTTTGTCGAGCAAAGCAAATACCGTGATTTAGCGAAGTAAGCGATTTTTCGATGACTTCACGACTATGTAGACCAAGCGGAACAAGGGCCGTTTTTTTTCACCGTTCCGTGTTTTATTCAGGTTCTTTCGGGGAATTGGGGGGGAGCGTAAACAACGACCCCAACCTTCACAACCCTTGAAGGTTGTGGTTCGATTCTCCGTCCGGAGTGTTTGTTTCCCGGGATTTATACTCAGCAACCTGTGGTTGAAAGCAATCTAGGTCGTGGGCAAGCAAACTTCGGCTTCACGGTCGACGAGGGAAAGGCATGGCTGAACCCTTTCGGGATAAATACGAAGTAAATACAAGTATGAAGGCAAGCACAGCAGGGGGAGAGATGGGAAAAAAAAAAGTAATAAAAAGAAATAAAAATGAAAAAAGCTGCTGTGTCTCAAGCACCGCAGGGGGAGAGATGGGGAAATAAAAAGTAAACAGAATAAAAATGAAAAAAGCTGCTGTGTGACCCCGGCTGATACGTGAGGCATGTACGTCGAGAGGCTTGTAAAACCGGCGGCAGACTGGATGGGACGAACACACACATCATCCAAAAGACGTCATGACCCATACCTAGTATAACCATGTGGAACATGAGGAGAAAATAAAACATGGGGCATACAAGGCAGTACGCTACGCGATCATTGCTGTGGCTATGGTCATTAGTTCTCACATAACCGTTCTGATTCTCTGCCCAGTCTGTACCTTCAAACATTACACTACGTACGTGGTTAGGATGTAGAAGCTACGATGCCAGGAGAGCATCCTCACTCGGCAGGTCAACCTACGATCAAAGCAGCTTCAAGGACACAAAAAACAGCGCCAGATTCCCTATTCGTCCGCGTCCAAGCCTCCGTCCTCTCCATGCATCTACGTTGTCTACAACGTCTCTAACCTGGAACTCGCTCAAAGGAGGGTTAGGTACATGGTACTACTGCTGTACCAAGAATGCCGTACATGTATTATTTTCTCGGGTCGGAGGAGCGCCCTGCCTCAAGGTCGACAAACAAACCTGTAGAGAGACACTTCTGGTACGGACAACCTTGTGCGTGTGAAGCTTGTTCAACCGCAAAGGCTCTCTTCGGGTCCATAAAGAGTCTTTGCGGTTGAACAAGCTTCTGGTGCAGGCAGGCGCGTGAGAACGAAACACCACTTCAGCTGCTGTTGTCCACCGCAGCCCGTCGTGGGGTATAGTGTTGTGCAGGGTCTTTAGATCAGAAAACGAAGTGCTTCAATGCTTGTACAAGTATAGTTGTCAACAGATGCCTCTCACAGGCGTCACGCAAAGTGCCTTTCAAGGGGATTTTTGCGGCAGGACAGACGACCCGAAGAAACAACAAGAAAATTCCAATGCTGCGCGTGGTGTCGACTTTTTTTGTCATCAGCATGAGAGACCTTTTCGGGTTATGGTTTGCTCGGATGTATGCGTACGACGATGCGTAAGCCGAGCACGCGAGGCGACACCACCGCAATCGCCACACGCTGCCGCTGGTAGCCTACCTGGGACTCCAAGGCGCACTCGCGGAGAGCCCTCCGAAGCACCGCTTGTCCCACCGCCGCCAGCAGCATGTCGCGTTGCTTCCTTTTTCTCGAGCACCTTCTGCTGCGCTTCTCCAGCATCGTCCACGGCTCTCCCGTGAACCTTCGACGGCCACGCCGTAGACGCCTTGGCTCCGGCTCGCGGGCATCCTGCTCCCAGCAACAGCGTCACTAGCCCAAGCCGAAGCGCGGTGGATCGGGCTGGTGCAGACCGCATCGTCCGTTGCTGGCCTCCCGGCGAAAGGAGAAGCGTGATGACCAGCCTAACGTCCGACTCCCAACCAAATAACTCCACAAAAGAAAAAGACGTGGGCAAAGATAAAAACGTGACGAAGGTAGACAACTCCTTTTTCCCTCCTCCTGCACGGTATGGAGTGCCGTGCCGGATTGCCTGGATGAAAGCAAAGGGTCCTGGCGCTCACAAGGGAAGAGAAAAGCACGCCGCCACTGGTCCTCGATGCCTCTCTCTCCTTTTTCGCGTGGGTGGAGATCGTGTGCGGCTGGCTAACTGAGAGTGGATTCGAAAGGGGTCCGTCTTGTGCTGTCACTGCTTTCTCATCACAGGTTTCTCCGTTTTTCTGCGTCCCGCTCGGCCCGCCGTTTTCGGAGAACGGAGAGATCTCCGTTTTTGTCGGGAAAATTACACAGGGGCACGAAAAAAAAAGCGGGAAAATGTGCGTGTTCGTTGTGTGTAAGTATTGTATGTGATGTGATCCTGGTGGATGAAACGAAATCCACATCATCATCTCTGTCTCTCTGCCTGCCTCTCACGAGCAGCGAATGCTACGCGAGAAACACGCTTCTGCCCCACTACTGCCGTGCCAGACGCACATGACCACGATGAGGAGCGTCGCGGGGCTTCTCCTGCTGATTTCTCGTGCGGATCCAAAACCAATCCCAGTCGTTCCTACTGGCGCATTCGGTGTCGACGACAGCAGCGGTGTCCCTCGGCAGCGGCAGCAGGAGCCGCCGGTTACAGCCTTCGGCGAAGCCGTGCATGCATTAGATCCGGCACGGGCACGACCATCAGATGCAGCAATACCAGGCTGGGAAGAGGATAGTACACCGTCGGGCGAACAAGCCCACGACGAAGAGACTTCCGTCCTATCCCTTACGGCTACGAACGGGTATCCGGATATCGTATGGTCACCCTGGGTACACCTGGCTGAGCCGCACCGAGCCACCGTCCTGCGCGCGGAATCTCAAGTTGGGAATCCTAATGATGATGTCTTCTTGTGGACGATACCGAACGAGAATGGGGCATCGTTTGAGGGCAGGTATGTTGTGCACATGCGCACATACAGTCAGGCAACAGAACAACGGGATGGGATCTTTTACGTTTGGCACAGCTAAGATACTCGCCATCCCTCCGCCCCAATGCATGCGCAGTTGCCTGAACCTATCTCACTACACGTATGTACAGTACTTACGAAGTACTCGGCTTTCATTTATAGGTTCCCTGTGGCACTATCATCAGCCACGGTTCAGGGATGTAGTCTACACGTATGTTCTGCTGTATATAGGATTCCCACGCGCATATTTTTTGGTATGCATACGAAAGTCTACTCGGAACGTACAATACTCTAGACTAGTCACCATATACTGCTGTAGCGCCGTTGTACGTAGTCACCTGTCGGAAATTGAGGTCACTCACATATATCTGTAACATCACACGGCATTTGCCTCTCTCAACCCAATTCTGTGTTATACTATATACCATGCACTAAATTGCTGTATAAGCGTTGAGGTCTTAACGTTAATGCATCGAAGAGGAGGTTCGGCTCATCGACTAACGATTGACACTACATGTTGGTGGCGCGCTCGTCGCGGTGACGCGGTGTATGTGTTGTGTGCTCACATGTGTATCAGGGAAATCGAGTACATCTTCACCGACCCGGGTCGAAAGGATATCGTGCTCACCCAGACCGTTACCTCCACGGGCGAACGTTACAGCCTCCACACATACATCATGGTCAAGGTAAGAGAGATTAATAGCACCGTGAACAAGGATGAAAAATACACTACATACATTTGCATACCCAGAGAGAGGAGATGTTCCGCTAGTACAGATTTTTCGAAGTATTGCGTTCTGCACCACCTTTCGCAACATCGAGTCCAAACTTGGTCCCAAGATCTTGAGGGTTGCTACCGAACGCGTCACCACATATGTATGAGCCTCTAATATTTGCTTGGGCCTCGTTTAGTATTTTCTCTCTGAGAAACCCAAAAACCACCATGCAGACGATAGGATTGGACTCCTTTGCGAGGCATCCGTTCTTTGGTCAAGTTCTGAACTGTTTTTGGCCTAGACTACTGCTGCAAGTGTTTGAAGTCTCAGATTCTTACAATAGGTGGTGTCGTGTATCTGGATGGGTTTCATGGCGCGTCATGATCGGCGAACTGGAAGGGAGCAGCTCGCAACATTTCCTCTAAAGAGGCTTGAACGGATTTAATTTATCTGTTGTATATGTCCTGTCTGCCACGTGCCTTAAGCCCAAACCACTCGAACCGCATCGGGGGGAGCTGTATACGATCCAGGGCGTGAGTTTCTTGTCGCACCCCATGTCAAGACCTTTCCGAGCCCGCGTAGACTGTTCTCACTTGCGACCGTCACACCCCGTCCTCGTGGCACTGCTGTCGCCAGTACGTGCGGCGGGAGATCCGCGCTCTGAACAACGCTGACCGAGTCGCCTTTTTCGACACCTTGGAGACTCTCTACCGACTGCCGACATCGCAAGGAGTCGAGGAGTTCGGGACGGACTACAAGGTTTGACATCCAAACAGCCGCGCTGTCCTCTGCTTTGATTAATACTCCTGTCGTGGAGAAACCCTTGCGTTGCAGCTCAACACACATTGTCGTTCAGTTCGTTTTGCCACCTGTGGTTTCGCTACGGTCGGAACTTGCGAGCAGAGCCGTGCGTACATGAACATAAGCGAGTGAGGAATGACGATGTTTTTGGACATACATTCAGTGTTGCGTGAGCCTGGGCTCCTCGTGGCCGGTGTATTGCATGCCACAGACTTGCACGAGGAGAGCTGGTCCAATATGTTCCGTGCTGACCTCGTGCTGGTAGCGATGTTGGGTTCGTTCTTGGCGTTCTGTTTAACGCTTGAACCTGCTGGGAATGTTTCTCATATTCCGGCTGCTGCAACTACTTCAGAGGAACCACGGCCCAATCGCACCGTAAGTTGTGTGTGCAGATTAACCAAGCTGTTGTGTCTTTTCCCCCCAACATGGAGAGCGATTCGCAAGGGCTTCGTACAGTAGTAACCTGACGTCCGTGGTAGGATCCATGCCTCATCTGAGCCTCATTTGGAAGTAGACATTTGAACACCACCACGTGTGAAGCATAACATTTGCAACGTTGAGCACAGCGCTCTATCTACTCCTATAACCCGCGCATGTTTTTTTTTTTTTTCTTCACTTCAAATCAGCGCTCACAGCACTAGTGCCGTTTATTCCAACCCGTGGTCACACAGAAGAGCCTCTCTCTACCCTCCCCTCCTGCGGTTCTTCGCCTTCAATTTTTAATGCGAGAAGAGTTCAGCACTCTCTTCCCTCTGTGTACACACGAACTAGCGCTATCCACTAGGCCAGGAGCGGAAGCGAGAGAAAAACTCACTTTGCAAGAAAAGCTCGCCTACGCCGGGATTCGAACCCCTGACCTGACCTCTAGAAGGTTACGAGGCTACCAACTAGACCACCGGGGCGACCGGCATGTCTAGAACGTCTTGAAAGGCTCGTCTCGTGAGTCTTGTTCCCGGATCGCCATTCTGTTATTGTCCGCACAAAATGCAGGGTATCGATTACTTCGTGCAGATGCACCTGGACGGCGCCGGCGTGAAGGACTGTGACCACTGGCATGACGACGCCGGTGAGCGGAGAACTACCCGCGGTCTTTGAGTCCGTGCGTGGATTGAACACAACAAACTCCCTCCAACGTTCCGCTGCTCATCATGGGGCTCATGTTCGCCTTATCCGACAGGCTTCCCGGCCCCAAGTACGGTACCATGTGCTTTGTCAAAGAAAAAAACGCAGAAAGTCCACAAGAAGATATGCGCAGCTCGTACTGTCACCGGGCGCGACAGTTTTTTTTTTCTGACCGTCCGTGTGTGTCGACCGAGATTCTGCTTTCCGCCGAGTTCTGCCATTTGTGCATGCAATCGCCAAATGGTCTAAAAAGATCATCGGCCTTAAAATCTTGATCCCGTGGCGCCCATCCCTGTGTACGACACACGTTCGGCAGGCATCATGACCCACCACGTGGGATACACGCTGCAGTTCGAGCAGGCCATGCAGCTGGTTAACCCCTCCGTGAGCATTCCCTACTGGGAGTACACCATCGAAGGTGACAAAAGGAGCCATGGTTAGCTATTGTAGACTACTGTTGCACTTGGCCGTCATCGTCCAATGGGTTGTTGACGTCAGAAGTGCGCGGACAGAACTCGCAACGTTCGCCTCGCGGTACGAGAGCGCATATCCGCGCGATCGATCGTGAAGAATACGCGGCGTATATGTTTCCTGTCCTCTACCCGCAGCCACCGCGAAGCATCGCCGTCGTATCGTTGTCGCCTTCCTCGCATTTTGACAGCCACGGAAGGCCTTCCTTCTTACGGGGAGTCCACGGTCTTCAACGACGATTGGTTCGGGGAGTTCTCCCCGAGAAACGAGCTCCACACCGTGACGAAGGGACGCTGGGCGTTTCTCCCGATCCAACCGGTACGGTCCTCTGTTTCTCCAACACGATAAATTTGTTTGTTTTGTTTGCCATGACTGTGTTTGTCGTGGTACGGGTAGCTCACGCGCCTAAGAACCTCTATTGTAGTTTGGGCCGAGGCTGGGGTTCTTAGTTCCTAGGTTATGCTACGAATGGCCGGTACATAGGTTCTTGTGTCGGGGTTCTTATGTAGTCGGGCTCACAAATGGTTGGGAATCAAGTTCTTAGATACTGAGTTGTCGAAGCCAGCCACTCTTTGAACACTATAATACGTGTCATTTGTGCCCTCCAACGCGAGGTCTGACCACTATTTGATCCATTTTCCTCCAGGATGCGTGGGACTCCGTCCACAACCCGTACGGCCTTCTTCGCTCTCCCTGGAATCTCAACCCGACTCCGTTCGTCACCCGTCACAACGCAACTAGCTCCATGGTGCGTTGAAGTCACAGGAAGTCGAGATAGAAACACGGAAGCACGCGTTGCTCTATTTCTACGTGTAGTCGTGAACGACGGTATTTTTGGACATGGCGGAATTACAAAACGCATCCTTTGCAAACAATGGGGGGATTGGGTATTGCGGGAGCGCCGAAGTTGTTGTCCGGCACTGGAGTGTGCAAAATATGATGGTGACCTGCGGAGGTGACCTAAAGAAGTCTATGGGTGAACTGGTCCGCGAAATTTCGGTGAGGGTGCTTTGTTCTCGACCCGGAGGTAGTGACAGTTAGGTTTGGCCGAACGTTCGAGAGTCTAGCCTTCCAGAAATGAGGTATTTTGTTTTCCGGGATAATAACCAAGTCATGGTGTAACAGCCTTATTTCACGAAGAAAATGAGATCGGGCCTCTCTTGTAACATTACGTGAACATTCATGTCCTTACGTCGCCGACGCCTGCGACAGTATTCATTTTCCGTTGCGATGTACGGCGAGTTCTTAAAATGTTTACGTTGCTTCCGCTCTGACATCATTAACTTGTCAACACAGCCACCGATACTTTCACAGTACATGTAGACAACTATCACGCCATGCAAACCAGCCCTCCACCTCTACCATCAAGGTCGAGCGGCCACGACGTCAACTCCAAAGCTGTGTTTAGCGATAGACAGCATTAATCGTGGGAGAACGGGGACTTGCCCGCGCTTACGCGTGGAGAGACATTTGCACGCTGCCACCCGGACCGATAAAGCATGAAGGCTGCGCACACGCCGTCCTTCCAACGACCTTCTCTGTGCCATCTATCCCTGTTGCAACGGCCGTCAGACATGGCAAACGTCGACCAGCGTTGTTTGTTTCTCGTGTTTACTACTTTTCTTCTCTGCTCTTTCGCCCACTTTCTGTTCATCGCCAGTCGGCCACCGCCATGGTGAGCTGCAGCGTATACCTGAGCTGTTTTGACTCCACCACCCTCGCGGACATGAACTCCTGCCTCAATGGAGAAACTCACGGGCCTGTACACATCCTGGCCGGGGGCGAGTGGCACGCGGCGGAAGAAGATTTCATCCAGAAAGTCGGTGAGAGGACCTACATGTAAACGTTTGGCGACTTGTTTTAGTATGCATACAGCTTTTCACCGGAGACGAACGGTCCACCTCGAACTAAGAGCCTGCGCGCCCGTTGTGTGACGTCCACAAGTGCAATATTCTAGAGACGAACACGTTCAGGCTCGAGGTCAACATTCATAGAGACACAAGTCTCCCCACCGAATTCAGAAGTCAGGCTGTGCGTAATGAAATAGAGAATGACACCATGAAACGTTACAAGGCTAAATGGAGCAAACATATGTTGAGATGTACTTGGAAAAATCCATCTAGACCACGATCGCATTGACTTGTTACTGGTTGCTTCGGGAAGGTCAACTGATGTTTGAACCGAACCAGCTTTCGAACAAAGGGTGGGTATTCTTTGGTGCCTTCCTCACGCGTTCTCGCTTCGCCATCTCAAGAACACTTCCAATGTTTCAGAATTATTCGTCCGGGTTTTATCCAACCATATTGCCGTCGACTTGTTTTCTGATGTTGATCGTCGTGCTCCACAGCGTCTCCTCGCTCCCCGCCCCTAACTAGGTCGCTCCCGTTTAGTCCGCTGCGATAATTACATACGTCTATGTCCTAATCACACGGCAAGAGCCTATGCCGGCCTCACGTCATGTCGGCTCGTGATCAATTAACTTCGTCTTCGTAGCAGAACCACCAAACAGAGCGATCGAGCGTTAAGGATTGGAAGTTTCTCTATCAGGTAGGAGATGATCTCTGCCGTGAAACAGGGGCGCGTTTCACGAATAATTAGCCTAGGCAATCAAATCATGACCCCACCCCAACCATCGCGCACTTCTAAATTTCGTTGTCCAGGGTACTACGAATCTGTGCCGCTCGTCACCAAGTTCCTCTGGCGCAAGGGCTACCTGTCGATCCCTGACACGTGCGATCAAGGAACGCCGTGCCAGACTTCCTGCCCCGCCAAGCTGTACGAGTCGAAAGGAATGACGCCTTACGATGTCCTCCTCGACGTGCACGCTCTGATGTGGACGGCGCATACGTCTGCTTCACTGGTATGTAACTACGTTCATTTCCGCGGGCCAAAGTACAGCGTGCACCAAACACGTTCCCGTTTTGTAAGAATAGCCGCGCTTTCACGAATGTATTGTAGGTCTCATACACCACTGTACGCATCAAAGCCTTTTTCTTGGAGCCACGTACATACACCAATGTATATTATGGAGGGATCCCCGGCTGTTCGTTCGGAGCAGAGCAAAAAACGCACGCACGCCAGCACACGGTGGGTGATCGTGCACGACATCCTCGTGCAGGGAAGACTCTGTTGTGGATCACCCGCTTATATCTCCGCTCCAGAATGCACCGTGTGAATTTTGGCGGACCCACATGTATCCAATAGACGCGACGTCCCGCCCTCTTGTTGGATCGCGGACACGTCACGTCTTCGGCGCCGGCGCCGCCAATCGTGATCCTCGCCAATATACCGGCGACTGCAAACCTTTAACTTGCACACAATTGGACTGCGCGGCAACCCTGTCTTTTACTTGTGGTGCATGGGCTCAGGTGTACAACAGCAAGAAAGACAAGTTCGAGGTGAAGGGGCACGAAGATGACGAGTCCTTCCAGCAGGCGTTCTTCAAGAAAATGCTCAACTCCTTCTGCAATCCAGGGTGCGTTTATCGTTGTGCCACGTAATGCGGCGAGACGAGCGTCCCCTTTTCCCAATGGGCGTGGTCCAACGAAGTAACACAGGAACCTCCCGGGTCCACAAAACGCAAGAGCGATGTTTTGCTCTTCTCGTAGGGAGGTTGGAAGAAATGCGGATAGTCACTGAAGACCCTACCCGTTCGAGAGAACACCGCAGTCGAAGGGATGTGTACAAGTTTTTCCTGTGGGTGGAGAATTAAACTGTTGGATAGCTTGCTCCGTCATTCAGGGGTGTGAGATAGATACAGTGGATCGGAGGCGAGACGGCAGCGGAAACACTGTGCTTTGAATGTGTGGATCAACAGAGGAAACGGACAGTGCGTTAGAGCAGTTTCTCCTACCACCACATCAATCCGTGCTCCAGTACATTCGCCATGCATGAATTCTGGACGTGTCATTGCAATCAAGATCATGCTGTCCCGACGTCTGGAAGTATGCTAGTTCGTTAAGTACGCTTTGAACAATACGTCCGTCCGTTGTTCGTTTCCCCCTCAGAAACGTCGGGGAGATGTATACGTCTGCAGCACCGTACGACCCGCTGTTCTGGGTGATTCACCCGACGGCCGACCGACTGCTCGCCTGGAGACGGATGCTAGGTCGTCAAGGAGCGGAAGGGTAAGATGCTCCCAAGACTCGTTGGGTGAAAATTGCCCTGTGTCGTACACCCAGACTACAGCAACGTGGTGATAGCTGTTGGAACTGCCTCAGGGATTCAGCCACTCTTGGAGCGAGTACTGCCGTACCAATCGTCTTTTCTTGACGTCTTCATTGGGACGAGATGGAGCTCTTGACGATGACTAGACTTATCCAGGGCTTCGGGAGTCATTTCAGACACTATTCTCCGCAGGCTAACACCGGTTCCACTTTCGACGTGCACTTTCACCTCTTCCGTCCAGATGCCTGTCTCCTTCGTTTTTCGGCTACCAACAAAATGTTTTGAGAAAGGATTGAGCTTTTCTCTTGTCCGATCCGTTTGGTGCAGTCGGGGTTTCGTCGGGAACATGGAGTTAAGCTCCGTCTGCGGTGGAGTGGGAGAAGTCACTGGCACCGCTCTTTAGTTCACCCCCTACATCGTACAGAATGCAGTTCGTACGATGCTTCCTTCCACGGGTCTGTACGTGGAATTTTTCTCTCATCCCGGACAGCGATTTGTCGGTGATTTTTCACCTTTGCACGCCTTGAAACTCTGGACCAGGTGGGACTTCGACGAGACCTGGGGCTACGCCCACTCCTCTGTCGTTGGGGAAACGGGCACCGTTTGCAACTGGGACGACGTCGTTCCCGGATCGGGCGACATGCCTACATGCGTCAAGGGCATCTGCGGAGGGCACAACGAGGATGACCTCCTCCCTTTTTCGGTCAAGGTGGGTTACGCGCTATTACTTCCTTCGCAGATACCAGCAGCAAGGGGTGGGGGGGGATACCTGCCAGCCAACCGCCGTATGAGTGCAACGCAACATCAACCCGATACCATCCTCATCTGGTCTATCCTTCTTGGTAGATTGAACGACATGCACGTACCCGAGGATTGCCTGTCCACAAATGTTTCAGCGGGTACAGCGACTGGCACACAGCACCTGGGGGTGGGCACTCTCTTGGCACTCCCCCGTGTTTTTGCGGCGCTATTGGCGGCTCCACTCGATACCTTTGGGAAAAACCCCTTTGTCCTCTCCTTGCAACTCGTCCCATGCACTACGGATGCCCTGCACACCTGCTCAACAGATCAACGGGGAGGTGATGAAACTGACGAACGCGGGTTGGATGGACCTCATATACCCCACCAATGAGGACCTGCCCTACATGTATGACGAATTCAAGTGGACGCACTGCAGGTAAGCGAAGCTCACTCCTTGGATCTCCTCTTTTTCGTCTGCGTCATAAGCAAGCAGGGTTGCTGTACAGTCATCACACGAAAAAGGTCAAAGTCGATTGACATGCTTGTCCTGGTAATTCGCAAAGGCTGAATACAGAAGAAGACACCGCCACGTAAGAGCATCTGATTTTGCCCGAGGCTTTTTAGTGTTATGTCTTTGGGGTAACCCAACAGCGACAAGGTAGGCTCCAATATTGGATTCGTAACTGTGCATCTGTTCTTGAATGGGGGTGCGAACTGCCAGAGTCCATTTAAAGAAGCGGGAATACAGAGACCACTGGGTACGGGAGGTGGTGCGGGCGGTAGTGCGTCGAGGCCCAAACCCTGAACGCTGCCTGGGGCGAGGCCGTCGTCGAAAACACTTCAAGCTCAACATTGACTCTGCAGCTATCATAACACTGACTCAAGGGACCATACGGGACGCCTAGAAACGAATGTGTCATCTTGGGTTCACTTTTTCCACAGCGGTACGCTTTTTGAGCCTGGCTGGTGACCACGGTCTCAGTGTTTGGCGCTGAGCCTTCTTCGTAGAAATCATCAAAGGCAGCAGCAACAGCAAAATCAACGACAAAACAACAACTTTTTCTTTCTTTTCTTTCGACGTATGCAGGCCAATAACGAAACAGGCGATCAGCATCATGGTTAGTTTTTCGAGGACGCATCTATTGTCATGTGGTAGCCGGGTCGACTGCATCTGCCTGCTAATAGAAGTGCCCAGCCGACTGTCGCGATGGGATCCAAGCGCGTCGCTTTTTTTTACCATGAGTCCTCGGGAGCAAGTCTAGTGAACTGGTGCCATTGCATATACTCGTGCCGTGGACTCCCTCTCGGGGGTGTTCTCTTCGGTACAACTATTTCTGCTTTCGAGGGGGCCTTAAGGTCAAATTCCCTCCAATTCTTGCTCCTGGTGCGGGTTGGTCTAGAATCGACGACTTTCTGCGACCGAAGCAACCAAGCATCCCTGTAGCGCCCGTCGCAAGACGACGATACCCACGAGCCACGATGACCGTCACATGGCAAGGCTAACAACTCACAGAAGCCCACCGCATTTGAACAAACACTCTGCGGGTGTCACCCTCGCATTGATCCATTTTTCGTCGGTGTACATCTTTTTCTCCCTGGCAGCGATGACGGGTATTCGTTCGGGAGTACATCGGCATGAGTCGTCTGTCATCACAGCATGGGCACACGGTCAAGCCGGGACCGCCAGGACGGGCCGATTTTCGACTAAGAAACACGAGTGTGTCGCTTTCAACATCTGGATCTTGTCTGGGGGACTCGAGAGAGAAAGGAATAGCCCCCAAGGGGCAAAGCGAAAGCACGTACAATACTCAAGAGGTGCGAGACGGGCACATCTACCAAACCACTCCGGGGGGAGGCGCGGGGGGCCAATGTACACATGCGGGTATAGTCTAGCCGAAAACCTGCTTACTAGGTCGACTCATCTATCTTGATCAGTGCTCGTGGTCTTTCCTCCTACCGTGCCATACGTGCGCACTTTTTCCCGACAGACGGCCGGCAACTTTTTGTCGGCCGGGAGCACTTACTCGAGTCCGGGTTTGCCAGCATTCGAGATAGGCAGAAATATGCAGGAGTGGTTTGAGGCTAGAACACACACGAGAAACCATTTTTTGCTACACGTAGGAGAGAGGGTTGATCTCGACGACAGTCACCAAGATGACTGTGCTTTTCAGCGTATCTCTCGAAAACACGCGCTGCGGTTCACAGGACAAGCAGTGTACGGGTAGGGAACGCAGGGATTTGGACACGGAAGGGGAGGGGGGGTCCCTCCTGTAGGGCCGCAAGCGCTGTGGACGTTGGGCGATGGGAAGGAAGGTGCCGGGTGATACACAGAAGTAGTAGTGTTCCTTCGGGAGAGTTACCTAACGAGTTTGACTGAGCGCATGGGTCAGGCGAACACAAAGTGGAATGGGAAGTGAAGGCGTGGTGTAGACGGTACGAGGGGAGGACACAATTTTGTTGCAATCCATGGGGGCGGCTGGTCTCCGTGGGGGTGAGATCATTCATAGTGAGATCCGAAGAACCGAGGGGAGCTCGACTTTGCGTATACGTAACGTTCAAACTCTGCACGTAGCGGGTGTGTTAATGGGGGCATTCATTGTTGCAGCTCGGCAACGGTGATGACCTTGACCTCCGTGAGACATCATTGCGATGCACCTCTCGGGCGGATTTCTTTTGTCCTCAGGAATCCCCCCGGCGAAGCTAGGCAGCACGTATATTTCGCGTTGTTATTTATTGGGGCGTGGTTAAGGGTGGTTCCTGGGAAAGCCCTGGCCAATCAGGCATGCTTGGGTATTTCCCTGAGAGCCCCGATGTTCAATCAACCCTCACGTATATCTTAACTGCCTGAGAGGGCGTTTCTATCATACGTTTGCCTTAGGCGGTGTTCTGTTGCCTGATGGCAAAGTTAGAGGACTGACAACAGCGGGACGGGTCCGCTGCTTCAGGCAGCGACTAGATGCTGTCCCGTGTTTTATCTTTCCACATCTCCCGCACCTTCTAGAAGGAATCATTCTCTTCTGTGTTCCGCCTACATATCGTCTCCTACAAACCGAAAATTGCTTAATTGCTTGAGATTGTATGGATTAATTAAATTTGCCAGAGCTGAAGAACTGTTACTCCGTACACGATTTCGCTCGTACAGAAGCCGGGCTGCACTGACTGACACCTGGCACCAGGGCGATTCGTTGTTTTTTTGCTGTTGAGAAAGGAGTTTTCACCACAGGCTGTAATAAAGAGTGGGCCGCGTGTGGGCTAGGGGACAGACTTCTGTCCGTGAGCTTACCCGCCTTGAGTCCATTCCCCCAACCTTTGGCGATATTTTGCACATGGCGAATGGGCATCGACCGCTCAGCGCTTGCGCCCGAATTAATTTATCTTGCCTCCACATCGTCTCCCCATGTCGTCTCCCCAAAACCGAAAACATTCCCCAACCCAGAAACAATTAATTAATTAATTAAATATACAAACTCCATATAATTTATGTTACATTTACATCTAAATAAGAATAACACTATCATAATGGCCTACATCGAGGATGTGGAGCTCCAAAACAACACAATTCACCACCCCACACCTCTCACTCGATGAGTCGCAAGACCATTGTTTGGCCTCTAAAATAAAAGAAGGCACACAGGAAGGAATAGACTGGGGGGCTAAGAGAAGGCTATGCATACAAATAACAGGACAGGTCGGAGCCCTAAGAAAGGGGAAAAGATAACACAAAGCAAAGAAATAAGGGATATATAATAGATAGATAGGTAGATCGAAGTCATGCAGCAGTGTAACAAGAACGAACGGCAGACAGACCTGGTGAGGCTACTTTGTAGCTTCAACTTCACAAAAAGAAGAAGAGTCGAGGATGGATATGGATGCGGTGTTCTTGCCGTGAAAACGGAAGAAGAAGCTTTCATCGGGAATAAAGACCCATCCATCCATTTGGCATTCTGTGCAAATATTCTTCATCCCGTTGCTGCCGTGGGGCGGTCGGTCGGTCGGTCGGTCGTCGGTCGGTTTGTCCGTCGATCGGGCGGTCTGATTCGAACGGACTTCTTCGTGGTCGCTCGGCTCCTGTGCGTCACTTTTCTATCTACATGTTTGTGGCGGAGTGTTTTCGCGCGTTGCAAATTTTGTGGTTCTTTGAAGAGGTCTTCATTGGGGCGTCGTGTTGGTTGAAAGTGCCGCCCTGCATGTTGCAGTCGGTTCACTTGGGATCGGGCGGATTTTGGGGTTGTTTTTTTGCTCTAGGTGTTGATGGGTTCGTCTTTACCCGACCGACCGTATCCGGTTGGGTTGACTAAATTGGGTTGGGTCAGGTTGGATTGGGTCGGGTTGGCGGGCTGGGTTCGTTCTCGGGGGCGTTGGGTTTGGTTTGGTTGGGCTGGGTTGGGTTTGGTTTGGTTGGGTTTGGTTTGGTTGGGTTGGGGTTGGGTCGCCGCCGTCGATCGCGCTGCCGTCGCTTCGTCGTTCGTCGCCGTTGGGTTGGGTTGGGTTGAGTTGGGTTGGGTTTTGGGTAGGGTAGGGTTGGGTAGGGAAGGGTAGGGTTGGGTCGGTCGGTCGGTCGGTCGGTCGATCGGGCGGCTTTAGGCCGCCTTCGTCGATCGCGCCGCCGTCGCTCCGTCGATCGTCGCCGTCGATCGCCCTTGCAGCAACGAAAGTTACGCGCTGCTCCTGTGTGTGTCCCCTGCGTTCGTCGAAGAAACGTGTCGACCCATGGCTTCCACCTTTCACGCATGCCGAATATCGTCGTCTGCTCTCCAATGTCACGGTATGAGATTCACCTGCCGCTGCTGCTCTCGTCACCCCCCCCCCTCGTCCCCGCCCTCTCTGTTGTGTGTAGAAAGTAGAAAGTCACAATATAGCGCCCCCTCGGGGATGATTAGTTTTGTCGGCCTTACGAGGGACATGCGGTAAGGTTGTCGGAAAGCGCCCTCTCCACGTTGTTGTGTCGGTCGCCAATTCTCGCCCGAGTGACCAAGCGCCGGGCATACACTGTACAGCCGCGTACTATACATCAATCAATTCGAAAATATCCATCTGTAGCCTCTTGACGCCTGTGTTCGGTGCGCTGCCGGTATATCGCTGTTTTTCGTGTTGGAGTGCTTCACGCAGACGTATACTTGAAGGAGTGCTTGACGCAGACGTGTCGTGCAATTTGGCCCGGCGACATCCCCCTATCTCAGCCCATCGTCAGCCCATCGTCAACACGCTGCATGCTTCGCCGTAGTCTAAGAATCTCGAATGGTTTCGGTTGTTGTGGCGGATATGGGTGAAAGATGGGGACGCACGCGTGAATCTTTTGGTTTCCCAGTGAAGGGCTGCAAACCCTAGGAGAGAATGCGTATCTGGGGCGAATGCGGAGGTCGACAAGTAGACGGAGTTGTTATCTTGTTGGTGACCGTGGAGCGAGATGAAGAAAACCGTGGTGATGTCAATCAACAACTAAACCCTTCGTCGTGCCGACCTTTGTTAGTCTCTGCAACACGTCACACCTCGGGGAAAACGTCACATACATGCAGGGGGTACCAGCCATGTGTTTTTGTGCTGTCGAGAGGCGACCCTGATTGTCATGACCGCTGTCCTCGGAGACATCCGAACATCAGCCTGGAAAGCAAGAGGAACAATCTCGGACGTTGCATACCTGGGACATTTTTTGTATGCATTCACGGAACGGAGAGCGCAATCCCTGACCTCGCAGTGAATGCTCTTCGTGTTATCGACGACAGCACAGGGCAAAAAATATATATTTTTGCTCTACTGGAGGGGTCCTTTTTTTGCTCTACTGGAGGTGTCCGACACCAGCAAAAATCAAGAATGCCAACATTAATCAGTAAAATTAGGGGGCGCACAAGAAAGTGCGTAGACTCAAGGAAGCTTACCTAACCCACGCCATTGGCTTTCTAGTACG